CCTTTGGTAGCCCTCACTACTGTCACTATCACTATTAGTAGATCTATCTGAATCCGATAAATCCTCTTCTGGATAGTCATTTCGCCAATTAAATTCGTCGTTTGAGTCCGAGTCTTCGCCATTTTCGTTATTGTAGTTATCTGAGTCGCAATCACTTGACGCAGCCTCTTCAATAATACCACAGTTTGGTCGGCTAATTACATAGCCAGTACTGCGGAAAAGCTCATCGTCATATTCAATATCCTCACTTTCTTCCTGGGAGTTCGTCAGCCTTGGATTAGAACCGAGTTTATTCGGTCTTGGCCTATTTCGATCTCGATCCTGGCTAAGGAGAACCCGATCAACGTAGCTTTGACTGCGATAGAAGTCAAATACAAATCGATCACTTGAATCTGAATATTGAGATACTACATTTGATATAGTAGAGGATGGCATTTCTTTGTTTTCATGCTCTGTGAGAACTAAGTTGTTGAGAGTGATTGCCATATTGATCTGCGGAGCTCTTGGAAGATGAGGTAGGTCAATAACTGGCAAAGTAGTTACTGAAGGAGGAAAACACTTTTCTGCCATCAGCGGCGTCATCACTTCGATCGATAATTTTGGCTTTTTTGGTTCATTATCCCCCTCTGATTGTATCTTTTCATTCTTCAATGCATCTGCCGGCACAATGGATAAGGAAGTGAAGAAACGCTTGCAGCCAACAATTGTGAGCTAGATGCGAAAAATGTGTAATATTTAGTCGCTAACCCAAATTTATTGAATAATTGAATGAGGCTGATATATTTTTAAGATTGTAATTCTGCTCGACCAAGGAGGAAATATCTCGATGAAATGCTAACAAATAAAAGTAACATTAGGCTAGGACCTAACAAAAACTAAAAGTCACTGCCCAGCAGGAAGATTGCTTCAGTTAAAATTATGTACAGATAAAATTGCCTTTTGAAAATTTAGTACAGTATTTTTGGAATAATTTTGAATACTGCTCATGATGAAGGTTTTGGAGTCTATGTAGGATGAAAAAAACATAAGTGAGAATCAAAGGGGAATGCTAAACGCTTTAATTGTGAAATTGTATCCTCAGCCTTGCAAAGAACTTAAAAATTTAAGAATCACCCTAAGCCAAGACCAAAATAATCAAATTAAACTTGAATAAAATGAATAGCCAACTAAGTATCTCCCCACATATTTTATGGAAGTAAACTAATAAGTTTTATAACTCAAAGAATATTATATTAGTATTTAATACATAAATCCAGGTGCTTTAATCATATTCTGAGGAATAAATAAGACTAATTTTTAATATAAATATGTTTGGAGACTAATTCTTCAATTATAATTTAGTCAAACTGGGTCGCTTACGGTCAAATAGGATAAGTAGGATTCAGGATTCCACTGAATTTCACTTAGCCTTGCCTCCAAAAAGGAGGCAGGATGGATCACAGTTTTGACCCCGCCTATGTACTAGGTGTCAGGCCTTAAATCACCTCAGTCACATAAGAGTAACTAATTTCTTGTCAAGGGTACCTTCATTTCGTATGAAAGTACATGAAGAAGAGATTCGTTGGTCGATCTCACCAGATGAGGACGGATGA